CCGCCACAGTGGGCGCCGCTCGAGCGCCGGGCGGCGGGGGCTGCGGTGGCGCCCCGCATGCTGCAGGCAGCCCCGGGGTCCAGGCCGGGTGCTGCAACACCTTGAGATCACCAGATTATATGATTCCCGCCCACCCAACGCCCCAACCTGGATCACCCAGGACGCCTCGGCCCACATCAGCGGCGGCGACAGCAGTGGCGGCGGCGGCGGCGGTGACAGCAGCGGTGGCGGTGGCAGAGGCGGCGGCGGTGGCAGCGGCGGCGGCGGTGGCAGCGGCGGCAAAGTTGACGGCGGCGTCGACGCCGCCCTGCGTCGGCTGGGGGCGCTGATGGATGAGAGCCACGCCAGCTGCTCCCGGCTGTACGACTGCAGCTGCCCCGAGCTGGAGGAGCTGGTGGAAGCTGCCAGGGCCGCCGGGGCGCTCGGCGCGCGGCTTACGGGTGCGCCTGGGGGCTTGGTTGGCGGGTGCCCAGTGGGTGGGCCAAGTGGGCCGGGGGTGGGTGGGTCCTGCGGAGGGCGGCTGAAGAAGCTTCTGAGGTAATCGTCGTGAGCGGCTGACGGGGCATTTTTATGCTGACACACTCGTCCCTGTCTGCTGCGTGCCGCAGCGGAGGGCGGCCTCGCTGCGCGGCAGCCACCGGGGCCGTGATAAGTGATTGCTGCTGGCGCCAGTACCAGGCCGCGCCAGGGCGCACGCCCTTTCAGTAATTGACCAGGCCAAACGTCGGCTGACAGGCCGCGCCGCCGCCCTTGGCTGCGGGTAACCCGCCTAAGCCGCGCCTGTGCCGCCCCCCCCCCCAAACACCCCCATGTCCCGCCCAGGCGCGGGCTGGGGCGGCTGCGCGGTGGCCTTGGTGCGAGAAGACGAGGCCGAGCACCTGCTGGAGAAGCTGGAGAGAAGCTTCTACAGGGGCCCGGGGCGCCTGGCTCCAGGGGAGCCCGCGGGGGGCTGCCTTTTCGCGACCCGGCCAGCGGCGGGCGCGCGGCTGCTGGGGCAGCGCGATGTTGGGGCGCTGCTGGCACCTGCGGCCGCCCCCGCTTGAGCGAGTGCGCGCGCGCGCAGGCGCCGAGCTGCCTGTGAAGGCTGGAGATAGATGGGGCTGCCACCCTCATCGAATTGCGTGCGTGTGTTACTCTCGCTCGCTCTCCGCTGTTGTTGCCACGAGCGGTCGGATGACCAAGGAAGTACGCATAGCTGCTGAGATGGTACGACAATGGGTGGGACTGGCGCTGCCAACAGTGAGTTTGGCGGTTCCTCCCATGCAGTGCTGCGTGAGTGACGCAGCGCTGCTGACCCCGGGTGGTGGTACACAAACAACC